TATTTAAATTTCTTTCCTTTTCCTGAGGAGACTGGTGAGGCTCCGCCTCCCTTGCCTCTAGTGACTGCACGTCCCTGCAATGAGCAAATACTTGCAAGCTCTGGCCCAAAGGTTTCTGCTTTTTAAAAAAGGGCAGAAAGGTGGCTTTTTCTGGGCTAGCCCCCTTCTCTGTGGTCCACCTGTCTCAGGAGTTTTGTATCTCATTCTGACTGGAAAGACACTTCTGCTGCTGCTGCTTCCTAACCAATTGATCAAACTTCCTCAAGCAGACAAATGGCCAATGTTTGAATTCTTGCTTTACTTTGCAAAGGTCAATTTTTAAGCAGTTTCTGAGATTCAGGATACAAACTGGCTCCAGGAGCAGTGAATCCAAGGGGTACTCAGGGGTGTTTGGTTCCGAATCCAGGGATGATAAAAGAAGACACAGCGATCAGACAACTGCCCAAGAAGCACAAAAGAGCCACTCACATTAACCAAGCCGAAGTAATGCTCATTCATAGGAAATTGATCCGCACCAATCTCTTTCTCCAAAGCAGAGGCATTGGCGCCCTGGAAGACAAAACAGAGGGAAGAAAAGACAGGTAAAATGGGTACAGGTAGTCCTTGACTTACAACAGTTCATTTAGTGAACTCCGACCCGTGCGCTTGCCCCAGCAGCTGCCTGCGTTCCGAGCGGCGCCTGGGAGTTAAACAGGACGCCGGAGGAAAGAAGAGTGAGCCAGGAATGAACTAAAGAAAATTAAATACACTCATTCAGCCTGTTCACATCCTAAATTGAATAATACTCACAATAAATGCTCAAGAGAGTCCAAGCTAGTAAAAGAAATGAAGAGAAACTTTAAGCCCGTTCGCTGGGCTAGCTGAATTGAAAAAATCTGGGGATAATCAGCACCAGAGGCGTGGCTTAAAGATTCAATTCAGTTCTGGGCAGTTTGGCTGTATTTAACCCTTGCATGGACTCTCCTGAGCAGCGCCCTGGAAAAAACCAGATAAATTTTGTAAATAGATACAAAAATTGAGGTAAATGAACTTCAATTGTGTCACCTCCTTTATTTATGCTTCCTTCAACAAAATGACTGTTGGCTTACCTGAATAGTCATTCTCTAGGTGCTGCAGGAGCGTCCAAGTATGAGTTAACTTCAGCTTGCTGCCCAAGGACTGAGTTCAAATCTTTGTGTAGCCACGCCTCCTGTTCCCCATAGAGGCTCAAGTTTTAAAAACGAAGGTATCCGATCCAAAGGTTGCT